AACGTATGGAGAAGTTGCAATTAAGATAATAAAAGATTCTCATAGAAATAACCAACTTTTTTTAAACGAGGTATTTATTTATTTTTTATTTATTATAAATTTATATTGTTTATGAATTAATATTATTTAATTTTTTAGTTAAGAGCGTATCACGAATTTGATAAATGCAAAGGCATATCAATGGATAAAAATACAGGAGATTATATTCTAGTGTTAAATTACGCAAAATTTGGGTCATTATGTGAAAATCTCAAAGATATATCTAAATTAGAGTGGAAAATTAAACTAAAGATATTACTTGATATTGCTAATGATCTATCAACTATTCATTCTAAAAACTTTATACATCGAGATTTACATCCTGGTAATATTTTATTTAAAGAACGACATGAAGCCTATATCGATTTAGGTTCATCAATATCGGTTGATGAAAAGCAGGATTGTAATATTTATGGAGTTTTGCCATATTTAGCACCCGAGGTCTTGAAAGGAGAACAATTCACCCAAGCTGCTGATATTTACAGTTTTGGAATTATTATGATAGAAATCTTAACTGGACGAAGACCTTTCGATGATTACAATTTTGATGCTGAATTAGCGGCAATGATTTGTCATGGATTACGACCTAAGTTTATTATAAGGATACCAAAATGTTATGTTAAATTAGCGAAACAATGTGTTAACTCAGATGTGAAAAAAAGACCTACAGCTGTTGATATTATTAATAAACTTGAAAATTGGAAAGACATTGTAGTCGCCAACGATAATGTGAAAAACAAATCTAAGGATGTTGGGTTTTTTAGTAAACTTAAACAAATTATAGGTATCAATGATAATAATGTTAAATTAGGCAAACAATGTATTGATCCAGATCAAGGGATCAAACAACAATTTTTAGAAGCTGATGAATTGCCAATTACCTCGCAAAAACACGATAATACGATCTATATTTCTAAATCTATCAATACGAAAGAAATCGTTGCAGAGTTTGAAAATTTTAGGATTAATTGATAATACTGATATCAATTAATTTTATAAGAATTTTATAAATAACCAATATTAAAGAATATATTATGTATTGAAAGTGTATGACTTATATTATTAGTTTATAAAAAAGTTACCAATTTATTGATAACTATTATGAGTATCTTTCATTATTTGAAATGAAATCATGGTAAGATTTCTAAATTTATATAAAATTTTTGATCAAATTAGGATTTATATTTAGGACTATAATAAAATGAGCTTTTTAGTGTGAAACATTGATACTTAAAAACATCTTATATGCGCATTTAAGTAAAAGTCTTTGTTGCTGATTTGTTTGTAGATTGATTTTATATTCCCTTTATTTTCCCTTTCATATTGCTTAAAATCTTCTGCTTTTTGTAATTTACATTCACAATTCCTCTTCGCTCTTCCTTTTATATCCTTTGTCTAAATGATTTAACCATAAATAAGTTTTTTATCACGTTCGTCCGAACAATATAAAAAACAATGCTCAAAATAGGTTGCAAAACATGATTAAATTCCATTTCATTTTTTTATGGCTTAAAAATAAAATAAAATAATCCAATTTTCTTATATTAATAATTTCTATAAATCATATTAAGATAAACTACACAAGATTTTACGTTATATACATGTAGTCTAAAATTTTGGCAATTCAGCTTTATTCTGTTGGACCTACCAGGTCATTCCGAAAAATTACTATATGCCGTGGTCTAAATTAGAGATGGGTTTCATGCGTGTGCATGATTGCGAAAACATGCGCATTAATGCGCATGATTCCGTTTCATTCGCATTTTATCCCATCAAGATTTCTCTCCTCTCGACCGTTTTTTCTTTTTTTTGCCTTTTTGTTATCATGCGATATCATGCGCATGAAACATTTCGTGCGCATGTTATTATAAAATGCGCATTTTTCCCATCACTAGTCTAAATCCCCAGGGTACTTTGCAATTAAGCCATATACCAGGTGTTTCAAAAGTTCCACTACACGGTTCCTTTTTTAAAAGTAACTTTATATATAGAATCATCATGATCTTTATATATAACGTTACTTTAAAAAAAAGAACCGTGTAGTGGAACTTTTGAAACACCTAGTATACAGGTATTATAGTCGGAGGGATACTATGGTTAGCGTAGAGGGTATAAATTTTTTTTAAAATACATATATTTACGAAAAACATCCATATTACAGTATTATGACATATAAGTGGGTGCATGAGGAGTATTTTACATTCCAAGTGCTATCGTTCTGTCTATAATACACCTGGTATAATACTGTGCCAGGTCAAGTACCCTAGCCATGGCGAAAACGAAGTGTCGGGTCATGTGATTTCCGATGCTCTAAATGATCACCCACCAATCAGAATCCAGTATCTGATGTAACGTGAAATTTTACGAAAACAAAATTGCAAATAGCTTAAAATTTTGCTTATTAAATCACCTTCTGCGCTCTAATTAATTTTTTTTCTTGCAAAATTTTACTATATAATATGATTCCCTAACCCTAAATATATGGTTTTTTCCTTTTAATTATATGTTGTCTTTGATTGTTTTGATTTTTAGATATCAGACCGGATGCTTCGGAAGTCACATGATCCGACACCTCGTTTTCGCCATGGCTAGGGTACTATGCCAGGTCACTGTGACGTAGAAAAATCTTAAAATTTATTAACATTAGGGTTGTGTTTAGAATTTCCTGATCGTATTACGTCACACTTGATTCTTGAGATTTGATTTGCGGATCAGGGACCTGCGCTACAATGATCGACAAAACCTGGCACGGATTTCTTCAGTGCATACTAGAGTTGCAGGTGAAATTAATTTTAAGTTTCACCATGAAGACTCTGATTGGCTGTTCTATTTAGTTTCACCAGTTTTATCATCATTTTCAACAGCTTCACCTGCAACTCTAATGCATACATTCTAGGCTTCTAAAAATCGGGAGTTATATTATAATGAGGTCTTTTAAACCACGCTATGAGATGTTACGAAAAATGAGGCATAATTAATTAATATTATGCTTTTGTTCATATAACGTTATAGTAGCTTAGCTTATAATTACGTAATGCTTAAAAGTTAATATCTGATATAGTTATTAGTTTGATCATTACGGCATTTCTAGTAGCATTACTAATTATAACTACATTTTGTATAAACTAATTTGAGTCTAGTAGAATAACTGTAAATATGGTTATTCTCTTTTTCGTTCAATTAAAAATAAATAGATGTTTACGATCAGTAACTAAATTCGCATTACAATTAGAAAGTCTATTCCTTGTTGTAACAAAGGTAGGTCTCCATTTGGGACATCGGATAAAAATGATTAAAAAAAATAACAAAAATAATACAGTTGGCACTTAAAAAAAAAAAAATTTAAAAAATTAAAAATATAAGAAATGCGTCAATCAAGTTATGCAAAACGAAGATCAAATTTAAACCATATATATCAGAAAATAATTTAAACTCAATATTTAAATGACTTTGATAGTGTTTTTAATATTACTTAATATTATCAAAAACATTTATTAGTTAGTGATATGTCGAATGTTTTTATCCTATAAAAAAGCAGTTCTAAAGAATATTTATTATAAATATAAAGTCAAGCTGATTAAAAGATCTTTGAAACAAATTTTTAGATATTGAAAATTTTATATAAATTGTATAGCGTTATACAACCTTTGTAAAAGAACATTTAGTTTAAAATCGAATTAATAACATTGCACAATATGATTGCAGATTGACTTTTTTAGCTAATGAAAGGAAGCTTTTTAACCATACTTCATTCTATTCTTAGCAACAATTTTTAGTTTGATATCAGTTTTGATTCCTCATTTCCAACTATAGATGCAGACGGATTCCCTAGCCATGGATTTACTTATTTCTGCAAGTGATACAAGCCCAAAAAGGAAATGATTGTCATTTCGATAAAAGTACGTGAGATTTGACTAGCGTTAGGGCTAGGGTTAAGGGTTGGTATTAGAAATGTCATATAGTGACACGGGCGAAACGGCGAGTCAGTCGCTTGACAAACGGATATGTCGTGTAACCTACGAACGGCTTAGTCGATAAGAGGCGGTTAGGTTTGGAGAGTGGTGTATTTAGATCGTAGATATTATATTAAAAATGAAAGCAAGGTTTTCTTATTAGGGGTCAGAAGTTTTATGTGAATCACGAACAACGAACGTTTCTTCGTAGGGCTTGAAGCCTTTATTATATACTTTCATTTACATAAGGCACGTTTTACATTCTATTCGTGATATAGCACTTATGTTCGTTATCTCATATATACTAATTATAATGTTTATGCTTATTATACTGATTATTCTGTTCATACTGATTATTTTATTTATACCCTTGATCCCGCTGATTCCCCTTATCCCACTGATATCAATTATCAACCCGACACTAAGTATACAACGAATACAGTGTATACTGCCGGTGACACCAGAGAACCGGTCTCGGCGTGTCGGTCGCTTCTCAAACGGATACGTCGTGTAACCTACGAACGGCTTAGTCGAAAGGAGGCGGTTAGATTTGGCGAGTGGTATGTTTATGATCGTAGGTTTTATAATGTATTGTCAAGGAAACAGGAAAGTATTTGGGTCAAAATGTATTGCAAGCACCAACTAAACTACTGCTCAGGTAGGGCACGAAGCCTTTATTATATACCGTTATATTACATATGCGCTCCTACAGCTATTAAACATACTAAACTTATTATTTATCGTATATACCTTTAATGTCCTATACTACTTAAATTCCCGATATACTATATATCCCTTTACTTATAGTTCTTCCTTAAAACCCTTATCACCGCTATTACTCTTATAATCGCTAAACGACTTTTAAGAGCGATAATCCCGGGAAGCCCATTTTAGGTAGATGATCGACATAGCCGTTAGTTATTACTGCGCCACCTCGATCACCTCCCTTCATGTGCTTCCGGGATCACATTTCACGAGTCACATTCCTCCCTAACTGAAGGTCGAGTTCTACGAGACAAAGTCGAACAACAGGAATGATTTTCCACCAGGATCGAAGACGCATAATCCATATGTTGGTAAGCATCGAAGGGCCTTATACACCATACTGTTATTGACAGCTTTTCTTTTACCTAATTGGTACTTTTCTTCCTTTTTAAGTCCATTACCCAATACTTGAATTGCTCCTTCGAGGGTCAATTTTGGCATCCATACGATGGTTTTCCTTTTCTTGTTGTTTAGTAGTTGGTTATGTAATTTTGGGTGAGTTTTATCAAACTTTTCTGATTTTTCTGTTTCTTTAATTAACATTTTAAATTCTTTTACTCTTCTATTCCAATCTTCACAGGCTTCATTCAAGGCTTCCAATGGGAGTCGTCGACTCATTTGCACAGCAAGAGTCTTATTTTTAGCAGTTTTCTCAGTTGTCAACTCAGTTTGACAACAGTAACCAACTTCGAATATTTCAGCTTTCTTTCAATACCAAGTAAGTGCTTGCCGTTCATCTTTCTTAACATCAATTCCATTGTAGTAACATTTTTCAACATTATATGTTTCATTAATGCCTTCCATCTCAGCAGATTCATTATAATAAATGAATGTTGTATGTTTGTCTTTTTCAGTACCAATTCCAGTTTCATAACAGTAACCAACATTACATTTTCTTCTAGCATACTTCATGTCAGCAGGCTTTTGATAACATCTAAATGCCTTGTATTCATCTTTTTCGACACCAATCACATTTTGATAGCAACATTCAATGTTATGCGTGCCAACCAGAGGGTCCAACCTATGTGGTTCCAGAGGGCTGACAAAGAGTTTATGTTCACCCTTTTTAACTTCACTTCCAGAGGGTGTTTTATTTGGTTTGAATGGGCCTTCTATTTTCTCCTTATGGCAGGGTTCAATACCATTTTGCACGCTTGAACTACTGTTTTTAGCACTTTTTAGATACCACTCAAGTGCCTTGCAATCGGCCTTTTCGACTTCAATTCTATTTTCATAATGATACTGTCATCAAAGGTACTCTCATCATTTTCCATATTAGTGGCTTTTTGAAAGTATTCGACTGCTTTTTGTCTGTCTTTTCCAACATCAATTTGTTCATCCTTTTCGACTCCCATCCATTCAGCCTTTTCGACTCCAATTCCATTATTTCCTTCTTTTTCAATGTTGATTTCATTTTCTTCTTTTTCTAGGATGAGATAGAGATCAAGTATTTCATCAATCGGGTCTTTCTGATAACAGGATAGAATTAAGGGAGCTTTTGGACTTGGGAATACTAGATGCACAGGATCTTTAACCTTATTCATCAAGATGTCATCCTCTTTTATTAACGTTTCTGGGATGTAGTAGGTGTCAAGAATTTTGGTTATGGATAAGGCTAATCTTCTTTGATAGGGTTTTATTGGTCAAGTTTCAGGGATTTGTTTTAGACTTTTAGAAATATAGAAGTTTTCTTGATGCGGTATATGGTAAGGATGGTTATGGGGAACAGGTGTTGCCGGTATGTGATGTATGAGGGTAGGTATATGATTTTCTTTATTTTATCTTTATCATCTATGAAAACATCTTCTAATATTTCTACTATAAATTTCAAGGCCTGTGGAATTTGTCTTTTATTAAGGTTTCGAGTACCAAAGGTGTTGTTGATAATTTGTTAGATGACCTGGGCTTGTTTATCTGTAAGTTTTTCAAATAATATTGCACATCACTCCTTCAATATACTAACTTCTGGGTATTTACTTGCAACATGTTTCTTGATTTTGCAGTAGAAGCATCAAGTTTTTTTTTGGGAGCTTCTTTGGATTCGTTCATGGCCTGGAGCTTGCTGAAGGCAGGTCTTTTTTGCTTGTACTTTTGTTTTCTCTAGTCTCCAGTATGTCAGGTAAGTTTTATGCATTTTTCTCTTCTTTGATACTAATTATTTTACTAATCAATTGTTTTTTCTTCTTTTATTGCATACTATATGCTATTGAGGTATAAATTCTTGTTTTGAATTCTACAGTCCAGCTGCTCTTGAATGTCAGATCTCACAGTCACTACCAAAATGACACCAGAGAACTGGTCTCAGCATGTCGGTCGCTTCTCAAATGGATACGTCATGTAACCTACAAATGGCTTAGTCGAAAGGAGGCAGTTAGATTTGGCGAGTGGTATGTTTATGATCATAGGTTTTATAATGTATTGTCAAGGAAACAGAAAAGTATTTGGGTCAAAATGTATTGCAAGCACCAACTAAACTACTGCTTAGGTAGGGCACGAAGCCTTTATTATATACTGTTATATTATATATGCGCTCCTACAGCTATTAATTATACTAAACTTATTATTTATCATATATACCTTTAATGTCCTATACTACTTAAATTTCCGATATACTATATATCCTTTTACTTATAGTTCTTCCTTAAAACCCTTATTACCACTATTACTCTTATAATCGCTAAACAACTTTTAAGAGCAATAATCCTGAGAAGCCCATTTTAGGTAGATGATCAACATAGCCGTTAGTTATTACTGTGCCACCTCGATCACCTCCCTTCATGTGCTTCCAGGATCACATTTCACGAGTCACACTGGTAAACCCATTTAAGGTAGGTGATCAACATAGCCGTTTATTCGTTACTGCTCCACATCGATCACCTGCTTTAATGAGCTTCTGGCACCGCCTTCCTACCACTCACAATAGTAAAATCTGGCCAGGAATTTTTTTTATTAGAACGTAAAATGTGATTTTCTAGGCAAACTTTTGAGTTACTGGTGATGTTTTAAAAATCCTTCAATCTCACATTACATGACGATTGCACCTAATTTTTATTCATTACTTTTTCTTGTTTTTTATTTTTTTTTGTTCATCATCTTGTTTACTATTATTATTATTATTTTTTTATCACTGACAACATCAACCTAACTTTCAACATCTTCAACATCTAAATTAAGAGCATCTAGTACTAAATCAGATATCTTTTTTTTCTCTTTTTTATTAGAAATGATTTCAGTATTAACATCAAAAGAATTCTGTTTTTGCAATATTATATTCAAGGTTGGTCAAGTGACTTAAATTATAGAACTAAGCATTAATCTTCAATATTTATTAGAACTCATTAGCTATTAAAGTAATTTCTGAATAAGATTTTGAAGTAGTTAATGAAAATTTTACAGATACATTATCATAATTAAGATCAAAAAATTATAAATAGTCAATATTAGTTGCTTCTAACATGATAATATCAGGTTTCTCAAATTTGATAAAACTAAATATTATAAAGAAATGAGCTATCTTAATATGATTATATAAATAATTAAATTTAATAGCTTGAGTGAGATAAAAAATAATTAGGTTTATGTAATTCTTATGAATTGTAATAAGTTGTAAACATAATATTTGGTTCCAAAATAGATGATATTATTATGAGTTTTTAAGTTACATTTAATTTTTACTAGAAACATAAAATGCAGAACACCAAAAGGAATTTCATCTGCTTTAAACTCATTATCAGAATTTTTAATATTAATAAAACTAGCATAAGCAACTATAATATATTTAATTCTATATTTGATCATAAATTTCTCTGCAAAATATAATAGATTATTCAACAAAAATTGTAAATGAGGTTTATTAAATGAATAAAAATATTTCTACCTGATCATTTGAAAAATACTCTATCTGAGTAATATTTTGTTAGATCTTGTATAAAAGATAATTTATTATTTTTTATAACAATAACAACAATTAGAAAAGTATACAAAAACATTTTAATCAAAAATAATAAACTAAATAAAAATATAACAAACAAGAAGTTATCTAATTGTAGTAAAATCCAAAAGTCAAATCAAAACAATATTTTTCTTATAGAAAGTTAAACTTTAAATAAGTTTAATCTTATATTCTAAATTTAAGTTTTTATGTCATGACAACCATTGCATATTGATATGTTAAAATACAATAAAGATCTTTATCTTTTATAGATCAATATATTAAAATAAATTATCAACAGTTATTACTTTAATAAAAACAAAAAATAGTGTTGTTTCAATGATAAATAGCTATGAACAAATTCCTCATAAACAATATTATATTAAAATTAATTTATAAAAGAGTTGCAGTCTTGCAGTCTAGTAGTCTAGATACTCCTCTCTTCATAGACAAGATCAACAGTCCAATTTCAGCTGAAGGTAAAATTCTGTAATCTATAGAAGCATATGAATATACACAAAACTCTGTGACTAAAGTTTATATAAATAGAAAATCAATATATAAAAAGTTTTTGAAAAGAAGTTTCTCAATATAAAAAGTTGGTACTTGATGTAAGAGAAGTAGGGAATATACCAGAAATAAAGAGAAAATGCACTAGTAGGTAATATAGTGAACATAAAAGAAAACTATAGAAAAGGAATAGACTTATTAAAATTTGAACATCTTTGACATTAATACTAATTTAGTAGATATAAGATGTACTGAAATTGGATAAAAATCTAATAGATAATCTTGGTACTATATTTAGTAAGTTTGCATCAAGAATAAATTTGAAGGACTATAGATACTTGGTAACATCCAATAGGGAGATACCTTTATATAAATAGTAATTAGATAGTCCTAATCTGATATGTCTATATAGTTATAAGTATTGCATATATGCAATTAAATTAAAAATCAGAAAGTTTAAATAGAGAATTCATAGGCAGATCACAGGTATAACAGCTAGTATATAATTTTGGGTGGAACTCTTAATTAGATAATGACTAAAGTTATATATGTGACTAGTTACACTTTTATTGATAAACTTTATATATAATTATATAATGATATATTACTCAATAAAGACAGACAGGCAAGATTGCTACTTTAACAAAAAAATAAAATAAAATTAATTTATAAATAGAGATGAAATCCTATAGCTTAGTGGCCTAGGCACCCCTCCCTCTACAGACAAGATCAATGGTTCAATTTCAGCTGAAGGCAAAACTTCATAATTTACAAAAATATATGAATGTACATGAAGTTCTGTGGCTAAGTCTATGTGATTAAAAGATTTTAGTATATAAGAAAGTTTTCAGAAAGAAGGTTCTCAATATGGAGAGTTGGCACTTGATATGAAAGAAGTAATGAACATATCAGAAATAAAGAAAAGGCATACTAGCAAATAATACAGTAAATATAAAAAAAAACTTTGAAAAAAAAATGTACTTACCAAAATTTGAACACTTCTGACATCAAAACTGGTTCTAGTAGTTACGGGATCAACTAAAATTGAATAAAATCTAAGAAGTAATCTTAGTATCATACATAGTAAGTTTGTGTTAAGGTTAAATTCGAAAGGACTATGGATACTTAGTAATATCCAATGAGGTAGTACTTAGATATAAATAGTAATTAGATAGCCCTAACCTGTTATATCTTAATAATAGTAATGTACTGTATTTCAGATATATGCAATGAGTATTAAAAATCAGAAAGTTTAAATAGGAGCTTCACAGACAGGTCTTAGATATGGCATCAAGTAGTTAACCTATAGGCAGAACCCTTAATTAAATAATGACTAAAGTTATATATATAACTAGTTGTATTTTTATTGATATACATTGTATATAAACTTGTAATCATATATTATTAATAATAAATAGGATATACAGATAAGATCACCCTTAAAAAAAAAAAATTAATTTATAAATTCATGTAATCGTTATAAGTTGTTAGAAGTCAGACCTATTACTGCATAATTAGAGTAACACAAAACATTTCATCTATTCAAAATAAAAATCCAAAATTGCAATACACAAAATACAAAAAAAGATAAACACATAGAATTAATCAAGCTTAGAAAACTTAAAACAGATACAAATTATTAACTCTTTTTGATAATTGCTTGTACTAATTTTCTATAGCACAAAACTGGTTATAACTCAATATTTTATTAAGTAATTACTTCTGGGTATCTAAGTAAAGTTATTTCTAATATAATTTTATACTTAAATGACTAATTTTATATTTTTAAGTTTTTTATTTACAGAGATATAATAATTAAATACTAAAACACTTCTATCTACTTTATCATAGAAATTTATTAAGTATACTGCTCTTGCTTATTAGAACAAACAGAAAGAGCTTATTAATAGCTTCATTTTGATATATTAATTATCAAATTTAAACCAAATTTGACTAACTTATTAACAAAATACTTGAAACTCTCTTGCAAAAATTTTTTAAATTTTTTAATTTTTAATTTTTAATTTTTTGAGTTTTTTGTAACCTACTTTTGTTTAAACCCACCCAAACAGGATTACTAATCCTATTATACAATTTATTTTTAACATAAATCAATTACAAATTTGTATTTTTTCTAAATTTATACAAATTTGTTTAATATTACTCTTGATTTACAGATATATTTACAAAGTGTTATATACTACTTGTAATACTTTTTATTTATCACCTCTTCTTATATATCATATTTTTTTATCTGTCATACACTTATTTGTCATTTTTTCTTATTTGTTATATTTCTTATTTGTCATACCCTATATCATTCAAATTCATTTTAACTCTATATTAAATCTATATTAAAATTTGAAACAATTATGTTTACATCTATTAGTCAAGAATCAGACCAATATGATTTAGATTATTTTTTAGCCAAGTATGGTAACTGTTTTGGTGCTATAGCTAAAAAAAATAATTTACAACAAATCAAACCTATCCAAATTACTGTTTATCTAACCAAATATTATAAGAAAAACAAAATTTATTATTTTAAAGCATCTTACTAACCTTCTGTTATTTTATGTTTTGTAAAACATATTATAACCTATTTATCTCTTATTATTACCAATTTTCTTTAATATCTATAACACCACCTTCTCTTCCAACTTCTAACATTAATACTCTTATAGACATAACTCTAAACCAATTTAAGAAAACTAAAATACTATTCTTTAGTTATCTATTACCAAAATTTTATTATTCTTTTTTAATTATAATAACTCATCTAAAGCTACTTTTTCTATTATTACAAATCTTGAACCCAATACTGTAGCTATTAAAACTTATATACAACATACTTATATCTGTATTATCTGTTATAAATCCAATATTTTATATATTTTTTCTCAGTAATAACAAACATTTTCTTGACTCTTTTGCCAAAATTTTATGTTGTATTTCTGCTTATTCTGCATGTATTTTAAACTTAAATTGAAATTTGCAACTCAAACTCAACCCCTTAATAAACAGCAATATACAATGTTTTATACAGCTAAATTTGCTCTTATCAACAAAGAGGAAAAAATTCAAATTTTTAAATAATTTTTTCAATTTCTCAAAAAGAAAATACTATAAAACAAAACAAACTCAAAATTTCACAACAAATACAATAAAATCTTTTTGATTGGTCTGAAAAATTTCCTATTATTGATAAAATGAAATTATTTACTAATTTCAATACACTATTATCTTAACAAATTATTGAATTTATTAAGCCTCACCTTATCAATTTTATATCAAAAAAAGTTACTTAACTTATAATTAAAGAGGAACTAGTCTCAAAATGGAGTTTTAAATATTTTATTAAAACTCTGACTAGAACCTAATCCAAGTTTCTTACAGATATTATCTATTAACATAATTCAATTATTGATACATCAGTTACTATTGTATTTGATATTTTATATTTAACTTTCAAAGTCCTATTTCATAAATTTATTACTACTTTTTTTACCAAACCAATTATACTAAAATCTTTTCTTTACACAAATCTATTCCTTTGTATATATTACAAAAATATTTTTAATTAGTAATTAATTTGGCTAGAATTTATCTTTATCTCCAAAATGAATATTAAATAATCAATCTCCTAAAATTTGCCAATACAGTTAATATACTATCAATACATTTTTCATTAAACTATTTATTAGTAAAGATGCCATTAATCAGTCTCTTTTCAAAATACAAAATAATAAAAAAATAATATCAATATATTTCTTAATATTTTTAAACAAGAATTTTTTAAACTTTTTGTATTACTTTATTTAAAAAATTTTGATCTAATCTTGAATTATAGTTTAAACTCTTCTTTGCAAATTATAAAAAACAATTTGTTAATATCAATTAAACCAAAACCTTTAACTATATCAAATATAAAATTATCACCAAATTTGCAGAATTATACAAAAGCCTACTTCTATCTAACTTCAAAATTATCTCAACTGACTCTTTACAAAAATATTTTTTAATTTGTACCAAAGCTGCTTTATTTCATATTTATATCTGCTTACACAGTAAAAATAATTACTGTACTGTTCTTCCTTTAGATATTGAGTACAATTTTAAAAATTTATCAACAAACTTCTTTGATAAATCATTTGAAAAATTTTCTACTCTTTCCTCTAATAAAAATACAACTAGGTGGATTAATCCTGAACTTGACTTTACTATTTTCAACAAAGATCAAAAACACCAAGCTACTTTTCTTAATATTATACCTCTATCTTTGCTAAACAAACTTGCTAATAAATCAGAAACAGAATATACTAAAAATAAAAATATTGTAAAAAACTTCAAACATTATGGCTTCTATTTTTACTCTTATTTTTATGCTTTTCTCAGAGCAGCTGCAGAAAATAATAAAATTAATAATCTCAATAAACATCAAGCTATTACTAAAATTATAACCAAACAAGCCAACATACACTTGCTTACTAGAATAATTACCTATTTCATATTCTTAAACAACCAACTATTTCAATTTTAGAAATTCCTAAAACATATAAAACTTCAATTTAATTACAAGCTTAAAAACTACTTTAAGATAAATTTAAAATCAAATTTTATTTTCTTAAAAAGTTTAAAAATGATCTCTTCTTTAACCCAAAACTCTTTAAAAACAAAACCAAAACTGATGAAGTCTATCCTATACTGAAACTCTTAGCCAAAATACTTTTTCATCTACTCACTCTTACAATCCTTTTTAATTAAATCTTTTGTAAAACCTATAAATCAGTTATCACTTCTGGAATTATGATGTTCTCTAGAACATAGACCATTTTCAGAAGAGAATGATGTAAGTGGATGGGTGGTTAAGTCTATTTACATGAAAAACCAAATTAATAATAGCCAAACTTAATATACAGAGCAGACTATGATACTCATTGCAGCTATAAGAGCTAAGCATATAGTGAACAAATCTATAGAAGAATCTTCCACTTTCTTAAATTCCATTTCATCATCAAACATCAAGAAAGTATTGCAAAAACCAATTCACAAAACATTATATAATTCAGTTTCATGCTATAGTTAATGGCTAATATATCTAAATCTATTTCTATTTTCACATTCACAAACACTCAACTCATTTTTAAAACACATTTATTAATACAACTTTACACAATACAATAATTTTAACTATATATTCAAAATATCAATTAAACTTAACTATAGTAAATATTATATACATCTCTTATATATATCTTAACCCTTATCTGAATATTTCTTTCTACAACTATCAGGTTATATCTATTATCTATCTATATCTATCTCTTCTAAATTCTCTCTAATAAACAATAATATATTAAATACTAATTTAATTATAAAGAATAATGGACTAGACAACACTTATTTTCAATTAGTAGAAACTATCTTAGATAACTATAATAAAACCATCATAGCTAAACAATACTATGACAATATCAAATTTAATACTTGTTACAATAAATTTCTATTTTATAACTACATACTACTACTTCCTTATCTTTAAACTATTAATACTTTTTTATAACATATTTACAACTTTGGCTATTTATCTAATAACTTATATAGCTATACATTAACTATTTCTATTAAAAATAATTATAGTGAAGCTTAGATCTACCTTTTATCAGAACCCAAACCCTTATCTAATCATTTTATCTTACCAGTTCAAGGCATTTGGCATTATTTAAATATCTAACTAAAATTAAATATATTAACATCAGTCTTTTCTATACCAGCATCCTCAGACTATTAATTCTTCCTTATCTCTAATTTATCTCAAAGTTTAGAACCGCTAGACTATTACAACTTACTTTTATCTTTTCTAATAATTCAATACAACAAATCTCATACCACTTGGCCTATTAATTTGTACACATAATATATAAGATTATAATAAAGATTTAAAACAACAAATTTGAGAAGACTTCTGTCTCTTCAATAATCTCAAAGTCATTAGCATTATAAAAACTAAAATTGCTACAAATAACTCTAGAACTAAACTACAAAAATCTAAACATTATATATATTTTTGGTTCTATACTAATAACCCAAAAGCTAGCATAGCTATTATAATTTATAAATTTATTAAATATTATATTTACAAAATCTTACTTTTTATATGATATGTTATTACAGTAGACCTTTTTTTCAAACATGACTTCAAGCTTAGAATTATTTCAATTTATTTACTATGTGATAACTTCCAACTTAGACTATTAGTACAAAATATTATTATACAATGAATTAAACAATACATTGCTCTAAACATACAACCTATCATCTTCAATGACTTTAATACATCTGATTATCTTATTCAGGTCTGGGTCATTTTACTAACAATTATTTTTTTGACACCTTAATTTGCTAACAGTTTATTTGCTGAAAAGATTATTTTATAAACAATTATTTTGTTGACAGTTAATTTTACCTACAAGGTAAATTTATTAACATACATTTTACTGACTCCTATTTTATTAACAATTGTTTTATTGATAATTTA